AAAAAACATGCATACATATACACATTGGCATGAGAATAGAATACATACATACACTATTGACATAGGAATAACACTCATACATATACTAATTGGCATAAGTATAACAAAAATTCACATACTGATTGGCATGGAATGAACACACATTCACATACAAGGAAATAACACAAATAAATAAACTAATTGGAATGGAAATAACATAAAAACATATACTAATCTGCATGTAAATAAAACACATTCATATACTATTTGACATGTAAATAATACACATTTATATAATAATTGGCATAGAAATATAACAAACATACAATTACTAATTGGCATGGGGAAAACAAAATACATAGTAATTGGCATGGAAATAACATACATTCATATACTAATTGGCATGAAAAAAAACATACATATACTAATTAACAGGGAAATAATTCACACAAATATACTAACTGGCATCAAAATATCGGACATACTTTAAGCTAATTGGCATGGAATTAACACATATACCTATACTAATTGGGATGGAAATAACAAACATAGTTATACTAATTGGCATGAGAATAACACAAATACATATACTATGTGACATAGAAAAACCACACATTTATATACTATTTAACTCATTTATGAACAAATTGGCATGGAGATAAAACAAATTTACTCTAATAAATGCATGGAAATAACACACAATAAATATACATATTGGCATTGAAACACATAAAAACCACACATTTATATACTATTTAACTCATTTATGAACAAATTGGCATGGAGATAAAACAAATTTACTCTAATAAATGCATGGAAATAACACACAATAAATATACATATTGGCATTGAAACACACACTCATAATTATTGTGCATGGAAATAATACAGTGTTATGCAAATTTTCATGTAAATAACACACATACTTATACTAATTGGCATGGAAAGAAAACACATTCATATACTAATCAACATGGAAATAACAAAACTATATATAATAATAGCATGTAAAAATAATACACATACATATGTAAATTATATGTCATGGAAATAGAAAATCATATACTATTAAGAATGGGAGTAACAAAACACACATACAAATAAGCATGAAAATAATACACATACAAATACTTATTGACATAGAAATAACACATATGCATATATTAATTTGGAAGTGGAAATAACACACAAACATACTAACTGGCAGGGAATTAACCTAAATTTACAATTTAACATTGGGATAGCATATACATATACTAATATAACATGGAGATAACATTACATATACTAATTAACATGGTGATAACATATCCATATACTAATTAACATGGAGATAACATAACCATATACTAATTAACATGGAGATAACATAAACATATACTAATTAACATGGAGATAACATATACATATACTAATTAACATGGAGATAACATATACATATAGTAATTAATATGGAGATAACATACATATACTAATTAAGTCACATAGCACAAGCATTAAGTTCCAAGTCCCCAGCATCTGGGCGCTAGTCCCCAGTCACCAGCGTCCAGAGGCCAGTTTCCAGTCACCATTTAGCATAAAGTAACACATAAATCAAATAGAAGGATAATAACAAACATATATACAAATTGACATTGAAAAAAAAACCCACACAAATATGCATGTAAATAACACACACATATCAATATCATGGAAATAACATACATAAACTAAAAGCATAAAAATAATACAAATAAGCATAAAAATAATACAAATAAATACCAATAAGAATGGAAATAACAAACATATCAACTAAGATGAAAACAACATACAAATAAGCCAAATTAGCATGGAAATAAAATAAAAATATGTCAAATAAATGTGGAAATAACATACAAACATGCCAAAGTGACATGGAAATAACATACACACATGCAAATTTAACGTAGAAAAAACATACAAATAAGCAGAATTAACATGTAAATAACATACAAATATGCCAAATTAATATGGAAATAATAACATAAAATATGCCAATATAACATAGAAATTACATACAAACATGCCAACTTAACAGAAATAATATACAAACATGCCAATTTAACATAGATATAACCTACAAACATGCCAAATTAACATAGAAATAACAAACAAACATGCCAAAATAACGTGGAAATAACATACAAACATGCCAAAATAACGTGGAAATAACATACAAACATGCCAAATTGACATGGAAATAACATAATACTTATACTAATTGGCATGGAAAGAAAACACATTCATATACTAACCAACATGGAAATAACAAAACTATATATAATAATAGCATGTAAAAAATAATCCACATACATAAATATTAATGTAAATTATATGTCATGGAAATAAAAAATCATATACTATTAAGAATGGGAGTAACAAAACACACATACAAATAAGCATGAAAATAATACACATACAAATACTTATTGACATAGAAATAACACATGTGCATATATTAATTTGGAAGTGGAAATAACACACAAACATATACTAACTGGCAGGGAATTAACCTAAATTTACAA